AGCAAAAGTCTCTATTCTGATGCAGAAAACACTAAGGGGTGAATAAAATTAAATATGTATCTCCAGAATAACAGACCAAAAAAAAACCCTGGCAACAATATTTTGCAGTTGCATATGGTGAGTTTTCTTTCACAGGGTTCCAAAGATATTTCACATGGACCACTAAACTTAGTGCAGAGTTTTCAGTATCAGAAAAATGAAGATAAATTAGGAAGGGCTCATGAGCAGAAAGACAGATAAGGGCCTGTGGAGTTTACCCATTAGAAAACATAATTGAGTGAAAAATATGGTTTGACTCACCACTAATGTAAGATATAGCCTTTAAGAATGTGATAAATGTGAGTAACCCAGGCCTACGGAATTTAATGAGTATGTTTTAGACACACTGTAGGGTGAACAGTTTTTCCCATCTGAGGGACAGGGGCATTCTAAACTAGACAGCTGTGTTGTTTCTGTGTATGCCTTTAGGCTTCTGTGAAGGTGAATAGAGACTTTAAGGTTAGATTCTTAGCCTGAAAGGAGAGACAGTCTGTTGAAGAATATAGGCCCCCAGTTGAAGGAGACTCCTGGAGATGCTCAGAGAGCAAGAGACTCCCTATATGAGATGCTCAGAGAGATGCTCAGAGAGCAAGAGACTCCCTATATGAGCATATCCACACTGCATGTGGGGTAGCCAAAGGAATCTTTCCAAGAGCGTTGTTTTCCAAAGTAGGAATTAGGAAACCTGAGGTTATGTTGCAGTAACCAGAAAGCTGCAATAACTTGTGTCATCCTTTCTAGTATTTTCCTGCAAATCAGTGACTCAGAAGCAAGGTCTTTGCCTTCTAGTCAAGTTATAATTGCCACGGAGACCATGATGAAGGCAGCAGAGACCTTCAAACCTGTAGTAAGGAGAGCAAAGGCCACTTGGGTCACAAAGAGCCGTGACAGACATGGTTAAATGGGAGTTCCAACCAATGTGGAGGAAATTAGAACCCAGAAGCACAGTGGGTGTGACATCAGAGGGGAATGCATTGATTGTGAGACAGGGCATCTCAATGGTGTATAGTCCCCCAGCTATTCTAGATTCAGAGGAAATTTGGTAGCAAATTGTGTATCCGTGGTACAAACTGCTTTTCCTCTAGAAGGTGTTGAGTAAGACCAGTGGTAGATAGTCTTATAATGGGTGGCACTAGAATTGCACTTTTGGATATTAGGGAAAATAATGCAAACATGTGAATAAATCAGCAGGTGAGAAATGACACTGTCTGACTTCAGTGGAGGCTGTGTACAAAATCTTGGCTTGGAGCCTCCTATGTCAAAACGTGCCTGAACCAAGCCCTTGTCCTCAAGGAGACAATTTCTCCCAATCTATGGGTTATAAGTGGATAATGACAAAGTCTCCATTACAAGCTATAGGCAATCTAGTTAGGAGAAAGTGGTTGCAGAAGCATATGCTGGTCGGGAATGGGGTGCCTTCAAGTACATTAGGATTATAGTTATGTTTCATATCTATGGATATATTTTTAAATGTTTAATCTCATTTCATTTACTCAAACTCAGTAGTCATGTTCTTGTGTAAGAAAGTAAACAGCAATATTGATTGCTTTTATATGTTCTCACTTATAATTCCACCTCTAGATGTGTGCATGAGTATGTTTGCATATGTGATATAAATAGTGGTCTTTTATACATCTTACTACAGAAAGTTATCACAGCTTTTATGTTCACTGATAGCTCTAAATTATAGTGTTTGTAAACGTGAGTCTGTCATTATTGTGTTGTAAGTAGTGATAATTTTTATAAGGCTGAATAATATAACTAAAACATATCTTTTATATAAAAAATAACACCAATATTTATGCAGTGTTTTACCATTTTACATGCACTGATGTTTGCCTATGCACAACCAGGCAGCCTGAAGATGCAGAAATCCTGCTGGGATCTAGTCTCTACTACCTAAGTATGCACTATGACTTTTCTGCACAAACCAACAAAGAGAAAATATTCTTTTCTTGTAAGTGAAGAGGCTGTTGGACACTCATAGTTAGGAGAAGTTTTTGGAAACTAGTAGCAGGAGAATATAGTGGGAATAAGTGATTTGGGGCATTCTTTTGGAAACCAAAGATAAAGGGGGGGATGGAAGCATGCAGGTGATACACTCTAAACAACTTTTCCCAAAAGCAGAATGAATATATGAAAAGGAATGAAGAGCTAAAGCTCCTCACAGATGTGCCATTCGGCTGATGGAAGTAAAGGATTCTGTTGACTGGTTTGAGGCTTAAAGAATACTTACTGGTTCTTGTACTTTCTGTGGAGGATTTCTCTGGAAAGCATCTTGAAATCTAAAAACTTTTTATGAGAAAAATAAGGGAAAATCTCAAGGTTTCCACAATGTGGCTTCAGAGATACTGGCTTATAAATAGTATTTCAGATGCAGTATTTATGAGGCTGAAAATAGATTATTATTATGTTATCCTAATGTATAATGGGAAAAATTGAAAACATTGTAAACTAATATATTTAAAGACAATTCAGCTATTTTAGCTGACCCTAGCAAGGCAATTGCAAGGATAGTTTTAGAGACACCATACTTCTTGCTACACGTTACTTAGGAAGGGTGGTGAGTTATAAGGGAAGATTCATCTTTGGCTGGAAAGAGATTCACTCTTGGCAATGAACCAGCATCTTCGATCAAAGAAAACTAGATCATGCCAAGGAAAAAGAATTGTGTTCCCTAAAGGGCACTGCAACTTTTTCTTCCTTGTTTTATTTATTTTACCAACAAAGAAAGATAAAGGAAATATGCTAACATTAGTCAATCTGGGGTGATGGAAACATGGTCATTTATTATGTTATTTTCCTCTACTTTTCTATATTTTCAAATTTTTAAACATAAAAATATGTGGTTGATTAAAACAGAATTGTGTTATAAAGAATCTGTTATCTTACATCTTTCCTTAAGGTGCATGGGTGAATGTAAAAAAAAAAGACGACAATGAGCAAGTAACAAAAAAAAGTCATAGATAAGGACTTAATGTAACATTTTTAATAATGTTTTCTGCCACTTGAAATGATAGCTACACATCTGCAGTTCCCATTTTTCCTATCTGACCCTTCATACGTATCTTAGCACTTCATAATGAAATTGAGGTGAAGCCAGTGAGCACTCACGGACCATGTCCTGCGTGCTGGGCCATGTGTGACCATTGGGGGTGGGACAGGTGGGAGGCAGCTAGCCTTGTGGGTACAGGTGGGGTGCTGGAACCAGACTGCCTGCCTTTGAAACCTGGCTGGGCTCCCAACCAGCTGTGGGTGTTGTGAAAGTTACTTCGTGTTTTGTTTCTCAATTTCTCATCTGTGCAATGTGGAAGGAAAAACGGTAGCTCCCTCTTGAATTGTGAAGCTGAAACTGTTGAGAAGAGTTAATCGTTAAGAGTTAATTTAATTGTAAATGTGTTATGACTCATTTAGTACTAAGGAAAAGGCCTGGCTCATAAGAAGCATTCAGTAAATGTCCATCTTATTATCATTATGAAACAGAGACTCCTGTTCTCAGAGACATGCATCTAACATTTCTTATGTTTCACAATCCTGTTTATATAGAAATTCTTTTACATAGAAAACAAATGTACATTCTTTAAATAAACTATAAAATCCCAGGGGAATCCCTCCTAAATCAGCTCCTTGGAGAGACTGAGAGAGCATAGAGGTCAAAAGTGAAAATGGCGGGGTGTGGAGAGCTCTAGACCATAAAAGAAAGACATTAAAGAACATTAGGAAACACGCTAATTTGATACATGTCATAATGCATTAGCATCATGGACTAGGAAGAGGACGAAGCTCGGGTAATGAATACTAATTAAACATTTACAAGAGTTTTATACTCCTTAGAACAAGCATCCACAAGAAAGAACAGGCCACGCTTCTCTTTCATGTTGTTTGGAAGAAAGAAAGGAAAAAATAATGGAGAAGAGAGGAAAGAAATCAAACATCTGAGTTGGTTTTGATTTAAGGGGGCAAAATGAGAAAAAAACAAACAGCATTTAAACAGAATCAACAGCCACCTCCCTTCCCAGGTCATAGAACATGCACATGGCAGCATTGCCTTTCCTTTTGGATGCGATCTACCTTGGTATAAATTACTGAATGAATAAATCACATTTTTTTTTTTTAACTTAAAGAGACAATCTAGTCTTGAAATATATCCTGGTCCTTCCATTCATCAGGCTTCTAATGTCCTTCTGTGGACGGCAGAGTCCTCTGCGGGAAAGGTTGGCAACAGAGCAGGAGTGAGAGGTGGGTGTGGGGTGTGTGTGCCGTATACGTGATGACCCTGTAAAGCACATCTCAGCATCTCAGCTCTCAGGAGGGATGCAGCCACAACTGACCAACGTTCAGACTAGATATTCCTGGAATTAGGATTTTCATTTAAAATCTTAGGATTTTAAAGCTTTACTAAAAAAATAAATAAATAAATGCCACTTTGCCTGATTCTTTTTTTCTTTTATAACTGTCTCTGTGTAACATGACTCAATGCATGTGGTTTTCCAGTTCTGACTCAGGACATCACAAAGAACGTCCATTTGTATCAGTTGTAGACAAACTAGATGCCTTATTGTTTCCTAAATATGTCCAATCCTGTCTTCTATCTGATGCTTTCCCCCTATTAGCAAAGTTATCCCACATTCCTTCCCTGACAGTCTAGATTCCAGCTTGTACAAACGCCATGATCACCTGAAACTTGATGCAATTACTTTCAGATGGAAGCAGCTTTTCTAACTCTAAACCTGCATAGCATTTTTTCTATGTCTCTTATGATGTCTATAAATTTCTATTTTGCGCTGTATTTGCATACAGGCTTTAAGATCATATTATAACCATTCTTATATGAGCAAAATAATGATTACATGCTGCATGCAGCACAGATCAGTAACCACTGTCTTCATCTGGCATATTTTTTTCCATTCTTCTCCGAGAAAATATGGAAAAAAACTAAGAACTAAAGTGGTTGTACCAACCTAGCTATGCACCAGCAGAGAAAGAAGATGCAGCTTCCACTGTTCCTTGAACGCACCGAATACATTGTCATTGTTGTTGAATTCCTGCCGATGTGATAGGAAAAGCACAGTTCCTTGAGATTCTGAATTTCCTAAAAAAAATAAATGTCCTCATTTATTCGGGTTTTGGCTATATCCAGGCAAGAAGCTGAGGGGAGTATTTTTAAAGGTCATATGGTAATCATAGTAATGTCAAATACGTATGTACCCAAGTGTTATCCTAAGCACTTTATAGATTTTAACTCAATCTTTATGAAAATGCTTTGATGTATATGACAATGTGATCCTGATGTTACAGAATAGGAAACTGAGATATCAAAATTTTAGATAACTTGTTCACAATCTTAGAGCTACTAAGAGGTCTAGACAGGATTAAAATCCTCTTTTTTTATGTTTATTTATTTTGAGAGAGACAGAGAGAACATGAGCAGCAGAGGGGCAGAGAGAGAGAGGGAGACAGAGAATCCCAAGCAGCTGTCAGCACAGAGCCTGCCGTGGGGCTCAATCTCACGAGCAGTGAGATCATGACCTGAGCTGAAATCAAGAGTCGGTCACTTTAACTGACTGAGCCACCCAGGTGCCCCTGAAACCTTCTTTATATATCAGCACAGAACAGCACCTCTCAACACACTCCCACAATCTATGCTGTTTTGTGGATACTTTTCAAGCAATGACTTCCTGTCACATTTAGTGCACAGGTAGGACTTTAAAAAGCCCAAAACGTCAGTGGCAGTTCCTCTCCAGCTTTCTAGAAGAGTTATTTATTTAAAATTTCCTTTGAAGCATTTATCATACAAACATCTATTATTTAGTCGATTAATAAAATAATGTTTGAAAATAATTTGGGTTTGGAATTTCGAAGGTTTTAGCCTTCTTTGGAACCATAATTAGTGTGGTATTTCACACTAGTTTTGTTCACCCTTCACAGAATTAAGCCCAAACATCTTCTAAGGATAGTTATAAGGATGAATTTACGTGTAGTGAATATTATATGCATACTATGGATGAAGTAGTAGACAGCTCAACAACGTTTCAAAGCCAAGATGGCAGGGGTTTTATAGGATCATATTGCAAAATTCCTTTGTTTGTATATGCCTAAACTTGGAGACTTTCTGGTTTTGCTTACTGCTTCTTGGGATAAAAATTATACTGCTATTCTTAACAGATTTGGAAACACATTTTGTTGAATTATTAAATGCATTCAGTAAAAACAAAGGGAATACTGGTAAGATTGGAAGATCTCAGGAGGCTTTCTTCTAATTCTTTCACCCCACCCCTCCCAACATGAAAGGAACAAAAGAAGCATGGTAAGCTGACTCAGAAGAGCTATTCACAAGCCACCATCTGTCTCTGTAATAGTACAACATTCCATATTTTACCTACTAACTTCTCTGATAAATCATCTTTTCCCTTATAGCATCTCAAGTGTGTCATCTTTTATGACATGTGGGTCAGTCATACTCCTCCTTTGTATTCAAGTACCTCATCTTTTATAACCATAAGCTCCAGGAGTATACTCTTCTCTCTACCCCGTCAGGACATCTTTTCCTGTCTATGTGTCTAGTAGGTGACAGTCTTTTCCTTTAATGTGTTTAGGGAGGGACATCTCTTTTCAGCATGCATTCCATTTGTGACATTTCTACGTCCTTGGGGCATCTATACTTAATTTTTTATTTTCAGGACTCAGTACTTTTATTGTGAATGTTGTTTTTAACTTCTGGTTGTCAAAACAAGTTTGCTTGCAATTTTACTGTTATAAGTATCATCAATGAACTTTCATTTCACTTTTACATGCTGAATTTTGTGTTGAGACAGTAGATGCAAATTTAGCTTTGTAGTTTGGGTGGGGGGCTGATGGAAATTGGTGGGGGAAATGGGGTATTTCCTTTTCACATTGGGTAGAGATTTTACGTTCCTACCCATGCCAAAGAATTTCCCTACATTACCTTTCAACTCTGCCTCAATATCATTTTCTGGAAAACTACTGTTTAAGTAATCTCATGAGAGAAGAAAAAAGAAGTGTGTGTGTGTGTGTGTGTGTGTGTGTGTGTGTGTGTGTATGTGAGTTTAGTCAGTGAAGACTGGAAGAGAAGGGTGAAAAATTTATTTATGCCTAATATGTGATAAACATGTTAGTAGGTGCTGTCATTTATTAATTCTCATTTAATTGGTCTTTAGTATGTTGTAATAGATAAAATCACAGATTCTGAAGCTGAAGTGCTTGGATTAGTGTCCCAGTTTTACCATTGACCAGCTATATAACCTTGAGGACTTCTCTTAACTTTTCTGTGATCTGATTTCCTTATCTGTAAAATGTGACTATTATCATTTGCAGAAAGTGTGGACTGTAGAGTTTAAATAAGTTAAAATTGAATAGTTACTTTTCAATTTTGGTCCACTCATGCCTGGCATTTATTTTAGAATCTTAAGTTATTATTACTCCTTTAAATGGGTGTGAAATAATAATTCCATCTATTTTTGAAAATGAAATAAATAGTACAGTGGGAGAGGTGGGAGAGTCTTAAGGAATTTGTCTACTATTAAGTACTCAAAGGTGACAGTGATGGAATCACCACCAAAGTCTGTGTTTTAGTTAAGGTATAGGTTTGGCTGCTGTCTATATTATAGAGACCTATAATAATAACGTGCTAAAAGATGACAGACATTTTAGATCTTATATAAAAGTCTAATCTTGTATGAGGAACCAGCAAGATTTCAAGGACCCACAATCCTTCTATTTTCTTGTTCTACCATTCTTAAGGTGTCCTTGCAAGCCCTGTCCACGATGGAAATGGTAAAAAGGGAGGGCATGCCTCTTCCTTTAAGACAGTAGTTTTCAAGATCAGGGTTGACATTAGAATCAATGAGGGGAGGGTTTAACACCTGAGATTTTCACTCAGTTGATCTAAGGTCAAGACACTTTTTTTGTTTGATCGTTTGTTTTTAAACAAATGCTTTACTTGCTTCTTCAGCCCGTTGGCAGGGATTCCTGCTCTAGGGTTATGGAGATAACCAAACACACACACCTGGCACTGGACAGATGAGATTGGCAGCAGTTTAGAAGTTATGTATACTCATAGCCTGAGTGAGATGGATACTACATGGCACATGGGGCCACTTAGGAACAAGAGTGAACAACCAGGGAAGGTAGGGAGCAGGCTCTGTAGTATCAAGAGGACAGTGTATCTCCTGTCCCAGTGAGAGGATGTCATTGTCTTGTTTGAATAATTTTGTGGCTCAGGAGGGTACTGAAACCCACTATTTAGGGATGAGCGGGAACTGTGCCTGCTCAAGAAAGAGTATTGTTTAGCTAGGGCACTTTCTCTATGGGGGCAGAATGGGAAGGGGGAGCATGCAGTTAGACCATGTTAGGCCCTCCCAGTTTCCAGATGTCAAAATAACACATAACGTTGAGCCTTGGTTTTAGACCTTACACCATGACAACCCATGATGGGTTTTCCAGGTTGGCTGGCAGTCCACGGAAGTACTTATTTATTAAGTTACTTGATTTTTTCTCTTTACTCAGTATGTAACCTTTTATCCTCTTGTGCTTTATTTTCAGTGCTACTGTACCCAGAAGCCATACTTCTTTCTTCTTTTTCCTTTTCTGCATGATTAAATGCTACTTTCCTTCCAGGTTCAGCTAATAGGACTTTCTTCCCCTGTGAAATCTTTCCAGGCTACTCCAGGAATTGTGCTTTAAATCCTTCTATCTATGCTTCTTTTGAGTTATTTGATAATCACCATCACAGGAAATTGTGTTATTTCTTACGATGTTTTATTTATACAAGTTATTTAATTCCTTTGTAGTATTCCATTTTTCATGTTTATTTTGACTACTTAATTTGATCAGAAATATCTAAAAGATATACACAGTATCTTGTGCTTAGTTTTGTCTCTATGGCATATTGCATTGGTGTTTCATAGAGTAGGTGAGTATATGCATTTGATATACATATGCAAATACATATCCACAAATACTCACACCCATAACAAATACAGTTAACTGGTATATTTAACGTACACAACTTTTGGGATGTAATTAAAATTCAGGATTATTTTGGTCTCTTGCTCTCCAGTGAAATTGTATTCAGCCATCCATTTTTTCCCTTGCCACTAAATAAAAACCGTGGTAGACTTCAGAGCTTTAATGACCAATACTAAATAACAGAAAATCTTAAAATTATTTTTATTCACAGAACATTCTCAAATTTGAAACAAAAAAAAAAAAAACAAAACAAAACTAGAGGGACACCTGGGTGGCTTAATTGGTTAAGCTTCTAACTCCAGCTCAAGTCATGATCATGCACTGAGTACACAAAGCCTGCTTTTGGATTCTGTCTCTCTCTGTCTCTTTCTGCCCCTCTCCCGCTCGCATTCTCTATCTCTCAAAATAAGTAAATAATAAAAAACAATTTTAAAAAGAAAAAAAAACACTAGAGTTTCCTATCCAGTGTATTAACCATCTTCAATTTCCATTTAAGTATGACAGATCTTCCTTGTGGCCCAGTCAGTATTTGCAATAAGCTGGTTACCAACCTGGGGAAAGATGAAGAGCTGACTGGCTTCCTCTTTCTTTTTCTCTGGCTACCAAACCTTTGTCCACCATCATTGTCTCTCATTTCCTATCTCTACTAAAGAAACCAATTTTGAGAACTCTTGCATTTGGGTTAAGACTCTATAGGTCTCTTTCTATACATGTTAGTTGTTTCCTATTTTACTTTACTAAATTTCATGGTAAATTTCCCTTTATAATTTTTTATTACTTAATTTACTTATGTCTTCATTTCCCCAAGATATTCTTAGAACTCTGTTTTGAAAGTTTTATTCATTTTCTCAGAAAAGCATGGTATTTTTTCAGCCTAAAAAGTTTATCTTTCTTCCTTCCCAGTGGATGGTCTAGAAGAGTGATATTTTCTTTCTTCTTTTTATATGTCTAGTCTATCAAATTTTCTCATGATTTTATCATTGGATTTCTCCCATAGCGTCTGAAGATCAAAGTGTTTCCTCTTACATATCTAGTGTTTTCTTTTTTTTATATACTATATGCCTTGCCTTCTTTCTCACATTTTTGCCAATACCATGTGTTCTT